CAAAGCGACCGTGAGTGTGATTGATGACCAATCCTTGTCAGTGTCTGATCGATCAGTAAAAAGCAGACAATGGAACCAATACAATTTCTTTTTGGACAAGCTCAGCGTAAGCCTTTCATACTTATCATACTGCGTACAGGAAAAAGAGCGAATAGTATTCTTGAGCTCAGAATTCCGCGTCTGATATGGACCATGCTCTTTTATGCTCACTTTCTCTTCTAACTGTAGCCTGCTGAATGGCACAAGAAGCAAAGCGTTAACGTGATTCATCTAGATTTCTACAGAAAGTCTGTTAGAATCTGCAAGACATCTCGTAATCTACATCTTTCGATATTTACAACTGTTTCTAGATGAAACCGCATAAAAGCTGCTATAAAATGAAACGATACTAACAAATCACTACGCTCACAATCTGAGAAGATTTAAAGATTTCTAATTATATGTACTTCGTGCAGCACCATCAACCAGACTCAAATCGAAAATTTACCTTATACGTGGTGCTCGCTATGGAGGGGAGCGGCCGATTGGGCCGATCGTCCGACTCGATCGCCTAAAAAACAAACGTGTTTGTTTTCAGTTTCAGGCGATCGAGTCGGGCGATCGGCCAGATCCAGCCGTAGTGGGCACCCGGCATTACCTGAACAGGACTTGCTACACAATAGGGGGAGACAACAGTTTCGATACCCATTCTTCATTGAGTTACCGTAGACTCTAGTGTAGTAGATGCCAGCCTAGCGGAAACTTGGATCAAATTTTTAGCTTGCAACAAATTGGTGCTGCAAAGAGTAGTTTAGCGCACCATTCTTCTTGTGAGGGAAGAACGATGCCTAGATTTCTCTACAGTAACAAACATAACTTTGGGGCAAAGATTTTGCTTGCTCCCAGCAGACACTACCGCAAGCGGTGCGACGAGCATAAACCGTCCTCGCCGTCTGTCTCTTCACTGGCGTGCGCGTAGCCAGCGGGTGACGGATCGCAAGGAAGTAGGCTAGTACCAGTATGTAGATCTAGAGCACTGACTGATTTAGAATAGAATCTAATTAGAAAAAAGGGAAAGGGGGAGCGGGGGGGGGGGGGTAAAGGAAGGCTAGGGTTAGGTGGAGCGCTTGCACCAATTGCACCAATGGCGCCCCGCCACTGGTTTGATGATAGAAAATTGCATGTTTGGCTTTGCTTTCATTACTTATGAACTTTGTAAGCCTGTCACTGGTGATTTTGTTGGCTTGAAAAAAATACTTCCAAGAATGACAGAATGGTTCTATAAATGAAACCAGTTTTGTATAGCATATCATTTCAGTCTCAGCTCTGTACTTTGCCAAATCTGGGAGCCATCGAGAAAAAGAGAGAAGTAACGCTTGGAGAGAAAGCCTTTGGCGCACTAAGGTACCGTATTTGAGGATAAGAAATTTCACTTGACTATCCCCTAATTTTCAAAGTCCCATCAATCAACAATTATTTCACTATTCCCCTTAAGCAAAACTTAGTCTGTTTGTGACCTAAGATATGATGGATGTTTGTTCATTTTTTTTTAAATGGAAAAGGAAGCAAGTTCTCCTAGGACCTACGGTGCTTGTCATGCCTTGTGAAGTACGAGGACCATAATGATGAATGCCGTTCATCATATTTTGCATTTGGCATACTGCTTCATTACATGTATTTCATAAAACTAATTGCAGATTCACATTTAGCCACATTCTTGGGGATATTTTCAGAGATGTTTTTTTTTCCTTTTAGAGATAGTAGAATTTATAAACTGAGTCTAATCATATGCAATCAACTGCTTATCTAGCGCTACTCTTTGTCCCTGGTGATCAGAATCAACAACTGTCTGGTAAAGCACAAACTGACCCTATGTGATGAAGGGGTTTAATGCCCATCGTCTTGTAGTCTCGAAGTGCTTCATGCATTCACTCACTCCCAGACTCAGAGAAGTGTGCCAGTGTAGGAAGGGAGATTATCACTAGGCCCTAGGCTGGGCGTACACAGTTGCTGAGTCGCTGATGTGTAGTGTGCATTGTATAGACTGCACGCAGCACCTCTGGTGGCCAAGAGTGAAGGGGTTTGGGGGAAAATTAACATTAGTAGGCTACATTTCAGGCAGGGGGCAAATAGTAGCCTATGTTTATAAAGGCGTTCCTTTTCGTGCATTGGCAAATCCTGGTGGAAAGCTGGAATAGTAAAACAGGGTGGCAGTTTTGCAGGGTTTGAGTGTATATTATATACAGCGTGGTGGAATCAGGCTCTCATCAAGGTCATCATAGTGAAGAAACTTGCATTTTTCCGCAGGTTTGTGAATTTTTATCAAACCTTTGTTTTTTGGCTCAACACCTTTCATGCCCATTAACGAACTCATTTCTGTGTGGATTTTTCTTAAAAACGTTGATTAAAGGAACACAAAATGTAAATTTTCAGTTACCACGGACTCTTAAGCCGTGGAAATAACTAATCTTTGGCGGCCATTTTCTCATTAATTTTTCCTCTGAAAACAGGTGACCCCCACCCCCTTCATTTGCAAATATCTCGACTTGTATTCAAAATAAATGGATTTTTTTTCATTCAAATAAAGACAAGTGAACAAGCTTCAAGATGACACCAATAAATCTACATGCCCAAAAATTGACGAGTGCCTGATTCCACCACGCTGCCTCACATATATATTCTGCTTTCTTGTCCTTTTTGTATTTTGTTATAAATGAAATTGGACTCTATCAGCTGAATTCTTGTGCTTGGGGTCTGCATAAATAACTCCCTGCTGCTTAGAGTGTTAAATGTTTTGTTAGTCTGCAATTACAATTTTGCCTTTGAATCGGATACTAACTTCTGTTTGCAGAGGATAATAACAACACCTAAATCCTTATTCTTATGGGGTTTTTTTCCAGATTTTTTTCTCTTCTATTCTTTTCAACCAGGAGAAGCTTGGATGTCTCCAGTCCTATTACACAAAACCTCTGGGGTCGTTCAACTCTTTCCACTGCTAATGTAAGAAGCAGTGGATGCCACATTGCTGCACAGCACCAG